TAATTGATTGTTATTTATTGCAGGTGGAACGTCAAGCTCTGGCAAAACCTGCAGAAAGCAAGGGATGGTATTCAGGCTGGTTCAGTAGTAGCACTCCAAAAGAAGATGACTCAATGTCACTTGCTGCTATAAGTACGTTGCAGTACATGAATATCACATTATTTTTACTATAACACAAGTCAATGAAAGCTAATCCGGTGGCCGAGATCGCTAAGGCAGTAGGGCCATAGCGATCTCGGACCCAAGGATCGCCGGTTCGTGTCCCGCCTCGGGCATGGTTGTGTTGTGTTCGTCCTTTCATCCCCTAGTATCATCATCATCATCATCATCATCATCATTCGGGGAAGGCAACGGGAAACAACCCTGAATAATTCACCATCCCAAGAAACCCCGCTAAGGGTCACCTAACTGCCGTATATGGTAGATAGGACAACAAAAAAATGATGAGTCAATATGATGTCTTGGGTGGAGAGAGCAACGTTACATTACAGTTCAGGAGCAAAATAAGGGTCCATCTCAGCATTTGTTCAAGGGACCAGGGAAACTGAACAAAAATCTGTTCTAAATGTTTTCTTTTCCACAGTCTAACCCTGTTTATCATATCATATGCCTTTTCAAAGTCTATGATTATCATATACATTGGTAAGTTTCTTTTATTTCTTTTGTCTAATATAGTTTGTAAAAGTTAATTTACTAGTTAATTTAACAATGTTAAAAAGGGTGCAATAGTCCATAAAGAGACAAATAATCCTAAACAACAAGTTGCACTCTGGATATTTTCAATAACTTTTTGAGTATGAATTATTTCTTTGCTTCAGGATTGTATAAAATAACTGTCATATATCACTTTTTTTTTCCCCGGCAAATTGTTTTTCATCTACTATGAGGAATAGTTGTCGATTACTCAAATAAATGCAACTGCACAATAATACAGTGGACCAGCATTCTGGAGTAAGTGGTTAATAATGTCTCCTGCAGGAAAGGGGATTTAATATAAGATTTAGGATAGTTGTTGATATGAAAAATTCGTGACATGAATCACCTTTCAGAATTTTTCAGTCCAGTTTCAATTTACTTTGAATAATATTAAATATTTTACATTGCATATCTTTTCAAAAGAACTGAATATAATTTTGCATTATTGAGTGTCAAAAAACTTACCATTCCTTTGAATGACCAAGATGAGGAACATTGGGACGATACTTTCGGAAACCAGCAGCTCGTGCCATTGCACCGATAGACTCCACAAGTATAATAAGATTTCGAAACTGAGTCTTGCTCAAACCTGCATAAAAAGTCATATATAATTTAAACACATTTAAATTAAACACAAACATTTAAGAACATTTGAAACTACTTAATGTCTTTAAATTATGCATGTTCATGAGCTTAAAAAATAAAGCATAGTCCATGTTCATTACAATAAATCACTAAATCTCAAATCTCCCTACAGCCAAATGGCAATAAGAATAACAGTTCTTAATAAGTTACAAGATAAAAAAGAAGCACTAAAAAATTAATATTAACAAGGCTTCAAGACCGGATGGGCAGATCATAATTATGATAGATGATACCAATGAATACTTCTGAAATAGATATACATCTCAAAAAGAATCAATTGTAATTTTGAGTTGAATATAAGGATAGAAAGAAAATAAAGTTGCAAAGCAGAAACAAGATAATGAACAATACTAATAACTTGTTTGGTGTGTTTCCAATGAAATAGAAAATAAAGCAAGAATCTGTAGAGTTTATGGTAAAACATCTAAATTATTCATTATTATTCATCTGCTAAATTACTCGGGAACAATCACAAAAAAACTTAAAAGAAGAAAAGGGAGAAGAAGAAAACAAACAAGAAAAAGCAGAAGATTCACTTGAAAGATATGATAAACAATATGTAAACAGAGAAAGAGTGGAAGAAAACATTTATGTTTTGATTTGTGAAAATGTAAATACATAATTAGCTTATAAGGTGCATCAAATGAAAAGTTGTGCAACTGAGAAACTGGTAACTTTGATGAAGATCTCGCAATTTCTGCAAATTTATCATTTGTGAAGTTATATTTCATTGACACTAACTACGTAAGAAAGGCTGCAGTGTGCTATTAATTTTGTAACAACTTCAATTAGATTGAATTTTCCTTTCTTTGTCTTCTACATTTAACAACATACTTCTTTTTTAATAACAACCTTAAATTTACTTCATATTTTAAAAATGTTACCAATATATACAGTGAAACTTGCTCAATTGCCATCTCGATTAAGCACCCATCTCCATTAAAGGCCATTTTATCATGGAACCAATTAATTTTTCCACAAGACACGAGCACATTCTCTCTTTTTAGAGGCCACTTTTGCTAAGCGGCCAGGCACATTTCACAGATTGATATTTATTAAGCATTCACCGCAAACAATATTGAACTGTATTATACCAAGAAGCAGAAAAGTGGTGATTACTGTTGTCATCTTCCTAAGATGGATGCATTGTCAGATTACTTCAAATTACAATATTTCAAATATCACACAGGGATTATGTTCTACAGCCAGTAACAATAGATCATTTTCATAAATAACTGAATGATTTGAATTTGAATGAATGAAATGAAACAACGATGCTCTTGATACTCCCATTTCACAACATTCCTATTGTTTGCTAAGTGGTTCTTCCATAGGCATAAACAGGGGAGGACCCCAAGGGGGCCCAGAAAAGTTGTTACCACCTTTTTTTTTAGGTTGCACATGCCTAGGATTACTTACCGCCTATGGGAATCTGTTAGGGACTCATGGAGCATGCCATGTTTGCAATCTAATCTAAAGATCATTCGCTAACTCCTTCATGGGATGGCCCTGCTGTTAAGTTTCTACAGAATGTGACCATCTTTAAGTATAGTTTGATTGTTTGATTCAGCAAGGAGGGAAAGAGTGTTTCATAACTAAGAAAATGAGTGACAAGTCAAGGGTAGGTTTTGATATTAGCCCCAAGAAGGCAAACTTATGCTCCTTAACTCCTTGTTTAAATTGTGATTTGTTATTTACAATAATTAAAAATGCTAAAGAGAACATATTTCATTTCATAGCAATTAGGACACTTGCTTCATTCTTCCAGTAACCTCATAACCTTTATTGAGTGGCCACCTCCATTAATGGCCAATTCTTGCCGGATCCATTAGTAACTGTTTAACCCTTCAGTATGGTATGTCATCTGTAGACAGCAATTTCCTTTCTCTTCTAAATGTGATATGCTGTACCTGGACAGGTTGGATTTTCCCTTCCATTCACAGTACGCCGTCACAGGACAAGGGAAATTACCTGTTTTTCCTCTCATTTACAGTGTGCCGTTTACAGATGCTGGTCACTTGGTGGAGCGTGCACAGAGCAGTAGTGTATTACACCAAGTTTTCAGTTTCTTTTTGGGTATTTTAATACAAATATTCTAATATTGATTGAAATGTTTCTATTTCTTTGTGGATGTTTTTTTAAGAATCAATTAATTTACAGCATCATTGTCTTCTATGTACTGTGTATCATATGAAATTATTGTGACTGTCAGACATACTATAAATAAAACAATAGAAATTGCTTTAAATTTAATACAGTCATTGCTAAATAATGTCTACACTTTATGGATGGACAATTACTATAACTACCCCTCATTAGCTGAGATGTTAAAAAAATGGGAACAGATTGTATACGAACATTAAGTTTGAACAGAAAAAATGTTCTTAAAATATTGCAAGAAAAGAAATTGAAGCAAGGTGAGTACATCACCCAACATTCGGGCCCCATTTCAATGTTAAAATGGATAGATAAAAAGGCTGTTTTTATGCTAAGTGCTTACCACAAGGATGAATTCAAAACAGTCATTACAAAGCGAAAAGAAGAAATTTAAAATCCTGCATGTGTTCTTGATTACAAAAATTTAGGAAGGGGTAGATCTGAAATAACAGTACTTATAAATATATCTCATTGAAAGAGAGAAAAGCAAGAAATGGAATATGAAAACATTCACAAGATTATTAAATGTCACTGTGTTGAATACATTTATTATTTGGAAAAAGAATCATCTGGGACGAGAATTGAAATCTTTGAAATTTCCTATTGATCTGATCAAGCAATTATAATCTGCTCATTCACATGACAAAAGAGCAGTATGTGAATGTCATTTGGTGAGTGATTTACATCGCTAGTCAGGAAGACACTTTCTTGAAAGGCCTCAAGGTGACAAAATTAAACAACAGAAACAATGTGTGATATGTCACAAGAGTGGGAGATGTCGAGACCCTACATTGTGGTGCCCAGATTGAAAGGTGGATTTTACCCCGACTTGTTTCCAAAGCTCATAGAAAATTATTAGGAGTATCTGTAAAGAAAATTAGTGTATTTTTAATTATGTTCTACTCTTAATAAACATTGATACAAATAAAAGAAAGTGTACAGTTATTTTAATTTTCCATATCCTCAAAGTCATTATAATTTAATCATTATCATTGTTTATCATATTATTGAAGATGAGAAGCAATGCATTCTCAGAAAAAAACACGATTTCAGAGTTGGGAAGCGAAATGACACCCAAGCTACGATGTTCCAGCAGCAGACCTTGGCGGATGCACTCAGCTTGGTACCTGCCCCTGCGGTGCCACTAACCACACCTTTCAATTAAGGCTGTCTTCAAAAGCTACCGCTCTCACCCTCTGCACCACGTTGAAGGGGTAAGTCATGTTTCATTGTATATTTTTCCTAAAATACAATTTATTAACTTCCTGCTTATATTTTTCAATTAAAATTCACATGCGTAATATATTATTACTTGCTTTTAACAATAAGGTCATAAATAACTTAATTTTGATATTGTTTTCTTACCTAACGATAACTTCTGCAGAGTAACACCCAACAAAATTTTTGGAATTGTATAATTACTTCCATCATTTTCAGGCTTTGGATTAATCCGCAACTGAGTCTTCAGGTTAATGGGTGCCAAAACTGCAGAAACAAACCCAATACCATAAAATGAACAGCAATCGTATGGGACTTAAAAATTATTGAACAATGACAGAGAGTGTGATGAATAAAAAGAAGCTATTTCACAAAAGATTTTATGCCCTTATATTCAATACAATATTTTTATATGCTAATTTGTATTATATATTAAACAGATACATTAAAATACTTTGGAAATAAATAAAATATTTGCCTGAATTGTAATTCAATTTTGTCTTTATATTAATATCTAGAGATCATTAATTTGTTTTTAGCAATAAAACAGTTATAACCTCAAACAATTACCATGATTTTGCAACCTTAAAGCCTGCCATAGACTTAGAAAGTAATAACTATGACTAAAGTTAAGATCTAAAATGTTAGAAATAAAGCCATAAATGATATTTCATAAAATAAGTAAGAAAGTATATATAGTTTTTCAACTTACTGTACTGATTTTTAGGATTCTGTTTTGTAGTAGATTCAGCAAGTTTTGCCTTCATCACTTCTGGCTTCTCACGAGAGAAGAATTCTGTCTTGCAATTCCAATACAAAGACAATCCTCGCAATTCCAATACCTAAAAATTACAGATATCACTAAACAATATCCATCAAAAATCTGCTTACAGTCATCAGAGTTAATGGAAGATAGCAAGCGTAGAAGAATTACATTCTGTTACATGATTGAGAAAATCCCAGAGTATGTAACTTAAAAAAGCATTAGCATTGGTGGGGGGAGTTGGGGAGGGGGGGGAAGAACAACAGAGGCCTACACATATTTTTTTGAAGGTTTTATTTCTATTAGGAAGCAGAATATCATTGATATTGTTTATGTTATGCTTTCTGATCAAAATAGAATGCAATTTTCTACAAGTGTTTGTTCAAATTTGAATTATTACATCTTCATTGGATGTGTGTGCGTTGGAAGGAGGGGGGAATAGTGACTAAAAACACTAATTTAGATTAAATTTTGGAAATATTTGTAATATGTCTTAGAACAAAAGACAGTTGACATGAATGCATGATACTTTGACATAAATATTCATTATCCTCTGACTGACATAAAAATGTAATATATATTTCCATTAAATACGTAAACTGGTTCAAGAAAGTCATCTTTTTTCATTTGTGGAACCTGATATGAAAACACTTTTTGATTGAACACACCCAAGTATTATTAGTTTTAACCATTTATTTTTTCTAGCAAGATTATCATAAACAGCAATTAAATAAAAAGTTAGGCTCCATTGCAAATGTATGGGATCATTGACACATTGGTACTGCTAGGGTAATGAAAATTATTATCTATTGATAAACACATCTCTATTTGCCATTTGAAAAATCAACTAAAACACATATTGGATATTAACCAACCTTGTATATCATGGTCAAAGCAGCATCTGGTACAAGGGATTTCTTCCAATTCTCATCTGTTGAATGAACTGATATGTCATGCAAAGTAATTCCCAGAGAAAAGGGAGAATCTGGTACACTGAAATTATCTTCATATCGAATATGAATTTCTGATAATTTTAGTTGCACATTCTTAATTATTTGTGTTGCAAGTTTCTCCACAAAAGTATCTGGTGCTTTTGGTTTATCTAAAGAAAATGATTAAAATATGTACCAGATAATCAAGATTGTATGTCTATATCTGTATATTTATACATATTCTATATATTGTCCTATTTACCTTAATTTAGGTAGGTAAACAAACAATCTTAAATTTAACATTTCCAGAAAAGAGGCTATATTTAAATTACTATGTTAATTTAATCCTTTATGTAGCAAAGAAAAATTCATATTATTTACTAAAAATAAAGTAGGGGAACCAGTTATGAAAATAATTAAATTACATACCTTTCTCCTTTTCCCTTTTCTTGGCTTCTTCAATCTGGAGAAGTGCAGCTTGTTTAGCTTCCTGATTTGCTTTTTCTTCCTTTTCAGCATCATATACAATTTGCGATTTCGGTACAATAACAATATATAACTTGTCAATAGTTCCAATGACAGGAGCATTGTAGATATTGGTCCATGGAATTTTCAGTACAAACTTGCCTATCAAAATTAAAGAGTTTAATTCTGAGTTATCATTTATTAAGCAAAATTCCCACACAATGCCCACTGACACCTATGATAAAACTATAATGGAACCTAAAAATCTAACCAGGGCCTTGCACAGCACCTGCTGGTCATCTGGAGGCATATCTATGGTTTGGCAGGCATGGCACATGCCATGGGCTGAGCACACTGTGGGCACTAAAGCAAATAACAACCCTAATTTACAATAGGGGTTATATTACATATCCTGACAGGGACATTACATATCCTGACAGGGGTGCAAATTCTATGCTTGTCATGGGTGCCTTAATACCTAGATATCTCTGAGAGACATTTTCAGGGATCATATGAGCTTAGTGATCCCTGAACATTGCTGAGGTCTATCAGCCCTATACTTTTACACATATGCCTATGGTATAAAGGAGTAAGGTGTAAAGGACCACTTGGACAGGCCAGGAAACAAATGAATGTCATGCAGGGCCATGACACTGCAAGAGGTAGTGATGAAATCATCTGACAAATTGAGTGTGTGGACATTATCTGCAGTTATGTTGCCAGCAGTGACCAAGCATTAACTGTCAAAGCAGCCCTCTTTTAGGAATCTCTATTTATCTCTTGGCCCCATCTCGGAGCTTGTACCATTGCCCTGGGTACAGGGATTCAGATCCACAATGATTCTCACAGATTGCAATTGTATCAAATTTCATTCTTGTATCAAGAAATTATGGTATAGGTGTGATATAAGTGACTCAAAATTCCCCCCATGGCATGAAAACAATTTAAATTCATTTATGACTTGCAGGGTTTAGAGCCCAAACAAATTAGAAACTTTTCAATTTTTAAAAATCCAAACAATACAAATTGATTCTATGCTGTTTTTATAAGTGCATTTCAACATTTCCAGCAATAAATTTGGAGGCGCTACTGTTGTTAGCAAACAGAATCAGAGGTAATTGGAGATAGACACCGCAACAGACACACACAAACAGAAACTGAAACAGACACTGAGACACACAAGACAGACTGACAGGCAGATGGATATTTAAAAAAAAACACTTTTGTGAATGGGCGAGCTCAAAATGTCTATTTTCATTAAAATTTCAAAATAATTTTTCCACAGCATTAAATAACTTTTTTAAAATTATAAATATTACTCTTTTTCAACAATAAATGCATACATGAGAGAGTAAAAACTACTATTTTGTTTATCAATCATGCATAATGTTTTTTTATTTAAATTAAGCTAATTCAAATACAAAATTATAAAATAGTAAATAAAGATGAGTATAAACTAGAGCATTTTTGTTTTAAAGAAACTATAATTGGAAATAAAGTATATTTAATAATTGTTACAACCAATTTTTTAATTGTTGAGTTCCTAGTTCCAATTGTCAATGTGCAATTTATGCCAATGATTCAATTCTGAAGGAAGAATATCGCACAAGAATTTACCTAATACTATTTGAACAACAGAGGGGCTCTATATTTATTGGAATTGAAGTTTGATCTGGTAAGAATTATAAAGAGAAATGCGGTGGAGTACCACATTTCCTTATGACACTCACTGAAAGAAATTCACTGCTTATTAACCCCAATATAAATATGTTAATAAATTCTACATATACTCACACTTATATGCATATACACATTAACATCCAAATGTTTAACTATTGATTAATTTAGACTTATTTTCAGAAGATTGATAGTTGATTTAAGATATTAAAACTAACATAACTAAAAAGCAGAAAAGTTGTCCATCAATTTTAATATTTTCAGCAAGAAGAAATTTTGTTGATATATTATAAGAATTTTTACAATCATTGTTAATGCACAAATAATTAAGATAAGCACACCATAAAAGCCTGTATAACTTACATACAAGAAAAGTCTAAAGGATATTGATCCATCTTTTGAGTAAACTTTTAAACAATAAAGAACCAAATTTTACATTATAATTTCAGAGCTCGATTACATTTTATCCAAATTATTTTATGTCCTAGCACAAGCAATACTCTCTTCATATTGCTAAATAGCAATGATATAAAGCAATTTTGGACTCACGTCTTCCTTCAATTGCATATTTCTTCTCTTTAGTCAGTCTGGAATCCTGTTTTTTATGCAAATTGAATTCCCAGATCCTTAATTTCTAGCTCAATTATAAACATTTTGTGTTAATACATAGGAATACTGCATTAAATCATGTACTGAAGAGTAATGGTTATTAGAAATATTATATGCTGTATAATCAATGTACAATAATGGGTTTTGAACTACATATTTAAAGGCTAGTTATTTCCCTTTTCTAAGTTAATTTTTCCTATTGTTGAAAATCAATTAATAGAGAAAATCAAGTTATTCGGATTATAATTTCTCTTGACTTTAGTTATTTTCTTCTAAAACTAAATACAAAGCATAATTTAAATGCATGGGGAAACATTATAATAAAAATCTACTCACAAACAAATATGGCTAATCAAAATTAGGCATACATTAATGAAAGTTTTATATATACTAGTAAAATGTTTGTATATACCCAATAGATAAATCCTTCCAAAAATATTAATATTTTCTTGAAAGTTGTTATTTTTGTTTAGTGTTACACTTCACTTTACAAGTACTTAATGCTTCCATTAAATATCTTGCATTATCCGGAAATTGGAAATTCACTGATCAAGTCTACAATATGTTATTTAAAAATTAAACTTTCACATATCCAGATAATGCTACATTTACGACATCACAATTCTACAAAAATACTATGAAAGACTGTATATTTAAAAGTCTATTCACCCATTTTGAAACTATACCACTGAAGAACTCACCTACATGACCAAATGTTGCTCTGATAGGTAGGTCAAATTCATCTAAGACAGTAGGTTTTAGATTCAAATCTTTAAGAACAATGTCACCTGTAAAAAAGATACAGATAAGCCTCAATAGGACAAAAATGGAAATTATACAACAGAAGCAGTATTTATCATACCTCCCCATATTCCAATTTTCAATTGGGACTGGTCTAAATTTTCAACATATTGTCCTCCAAATCTATTTAACAGATCTGCAACAATTGACTCAAAAACCATATTGCATCTGTCAGCAAGTGCATGGGCTCAATTTCAAAGTCAGAGTCACTATGAACTATAGCCACGCCCACACTTTATTACGAGAGCTCACGAGCCTGTACAGCAATAGAGAGAAACATGGTCAGGTTATTATTCAAATGTAGCGCATGATGTCATAACGCGATAAAAGGGTGAAAGCAAACCAGCAGCGTTGCGACTGGACGTCTACAACAAATCGATGCCGTTGCTTAGCTTGAGATTGTCACGACCAAATTTTGTCCAATGCGGCATGTTGCCTGCATTTCCTTCTTAATCGATAAAAGCTCACAGATTCTTTATATCATGTTCATCGCAATCATTTTCATTAATTGCCAAAAACGGCATGAGTTGTTACTGATCGGAAATAGAGCGTGCGAATTAAATCAGTTTACCACCAACGCGCTGGTTATGTTACAATCATTGCAAAAGGTGCACAACATCCCTCACTTATCGGTAAAAGGCGCGATTTCGTTGTTTTTCAAATTCTCGCAACAACAGAACAAGTGACGAGTATTCTTTGAATAAAGGAAATCCTGGCTCGAAATTGATATATAAAGTAAAAAAATAATCGCTTCACTTTCACTTCGAACCCAATATGTTTATAACATTTTCTATCAGTCTGTTTCCAGCTAAAATTCATTAAAATTATAACATATTTGAAAGACATGGAGAATGACGGTGATGTAGGTTTGAGGATGTAATACTGGTGGGGTTATTTCGCTCTTCACAAGTTATTATCATTATCATTCTGCCTTGTGCACCACATGGAAGTGGACAATGGATTGAATCTCATTATCTCAATCATTGAGATAATGGAAGATATAAACGTTTGACCACAAAGAGAGGAGCTTTCTGGTTTTCAAACATAGAAGCAAAATGTAGTTTACAAATATGTTACAAATACATTTTACCCTCAAAATACATACAGGGTCATTATATCTCGTGTAAAATGTTTCCACAATTTAAATTGTTTTATTAAGCTTATGTACCGGTTAAATGTTGACATTTTCGAATATTGTTTCTAAAGCACTTGCAATAAGCACATTCGTTGATCATGTAACTGTTTTTAAAAATCGCAATACTTACTATTTCCTTTCTCATAAATGTAAATGTTCTTTCACATTGGTTAAATGAGACCGGTGGAATAACAAAAAGATGCGGTAGAGGCGAACATTTTGAAAGAAGAAAGTGTCATAAAAGTTCTACAGTTTATATTATAATTCGAGAGAAGAAAATATTGTTTAAGACATTGTTTAAATTTCTTGATACTATTTTTTTGTTTTTGTTTTTATACCTAAGCAATAAACTTTTGTTTAATTGATGTACTTATTAACCATAAAATACACTCAGAAGCTGTTTAATATAATTTCTCTGAACTAGGAGTATATACAATTTGTCACACCTATAGAATATCCCAGTGGTACCATGGAAGAATACATGGACTTGTAGCACAGTACTGTTATATTGTGATACTTTGCTTGTAGTGAGTTGCTCCAAAGAACGAAACCATGGTATATTCATCCATGTTGTGCTGTGATAAAATTAATACTCGTAGAGAAATTCTGCCTTGTACTTCAGCGCTCCTGGTGGAGAATTGCCAACCCAAACTTAGTGTGACCAACACTACAGTTTAACTGTGGAGTTGTTATACTGTGCCAACAGACCAGCCGAATATTCAGAAGCTTCCATCGACTTCGAACGAGAACAACTTACATCACAAATCTTAATACTAGGGCCTTGAATTGATCTCAATGGTTCTTATTCAATTTCTTTCTTCGGAGCCGAGACGTTTGTTGGTCAGTATGGTTAACACCAAGCATCTTTTGCTATTACTCCGTTCTACGACCTCAACGCGGTGATTCACCCTCATAATAAGAGTGGGCATTATTCACAAACATGCAATTATATTAGCTGTGAAAAAATAGAGAAAAACAATTGGAGTCGTTTTTGAGAAAGTAATTGTTTAAAATTTGCCTGTACCTGCGCAAAATTACGAAATCTTTGCTATTTAAAAAAAATTCATGTTATTTAAAGATGTCTTTAAAGACCAGATTTTATTAAGAAAACATCTTCAGTATTGTAAGAAAACGGAGAAAAAATAATAAAATTTTCCACTTTTCAAAAATTCAGAGAATTCAACGAAAATGAAACCAGTGCCATTTCTTTAAGCGTCGTTTGAGCAATCCCAGGAAAAAGTTAAATTAAGAAATTTGGGGCTATATTTTAAAAGATTTTGACAATATTAAGTACCCAAAAATATCTGTAAAAAATTACAGGGTCTCGAGTTCATCCAGACCGATTGGAGAATATCAGTTTTGAAAAAAAAATTAAATGAATGAATAAATAAATAAAATAAATAAAAGAATGACGAACGAATGAATAAAGGATGAATGAAATAAATGAATTAGAGTGAGTGAGTGTGTGAATGAATGAATGAATGAATGAATAAAAACGAAAAACATCTTATCATTTTTGGTGCCAGCGTTTACCATAGGTG